CTTGGCGGGTGCTGTGTAGGGATGTGGCTCCGAGTAAAATCGAGCCTTCAAACGCGAAAGTCTACCAACAAGCTGTCAACGCCATGGTGAGGCTAATAGCTGGTTGAAGGGGTTTAGAAATGGCAGGCCTTTCGTACTTGAAGAAGAAAAAAAATGTTACTTTCGTTAGAATTTCTCTTTCTTGTTTTGACATTGCATTCGGGTTAAGAAATAACAGCTGCTCCAGAATTCCATTATCTATAAACAATCCTAAAGTAATATTTAGTGTTTTAGTGACTGAACACTGGAACTTGGTGTGCTGATGGCACCGTAAATGACAGTAGATGATGGTAGTGTCCAAAAAGTTAGGATAAAGGAATTTTTTATGTTTTCAGCATTAAGAAATAGATGTTTCCAGGCCTAGTGGCCTGAGCTGCATAGAAAGACCGTCTGGTACAGTGTTTTCTGTAGCTTGTCACACAGAGCTGAGTTTGAATCCTCATCCCACAACCCAAACAAGTTTGTTTTTCATACCTCTCAACACACCACAAGCTTAAATACTAGAGCAGTAGACCTGATGGATCTGCTCCCTGCAAGCAGTTTTGTCTAATGTGGAGATGAAGTAAATAAATCCTTATGAAAGCCTGGGAAGTTCTTTGGTACAAAAGATAGAAGATGCTATGAGGATTTTTCTAGTCTGATTTTGGGACTGTGCAAAAGCTAGAAACAATATCCCGACTGAGATCTGGAAGGTAAATGAGAATTGGCTGGGAAAAAAAAATTGGAATTGGCCTATGAATTCTAAATGGCTAACTAGAAAATACAGAAGTTGAAAAGCTTCAAGGCTTTATTTAATGTATTAAAAACCCCATACAGAAACACATTATTTCATTAGCTGATTTGATTGTTTTAAGTTAGAAGATGCCAACATGGGTAAGAAAAACATGAAAGAAAAATAATAATCAAACCAGCAATTGGAGCCACTTTGTGCTTAAAGATGAATTGTACCCTTAACAGCAGAGAAGGTTAACTTCATGGAAATCATCTGTTGTCTCTGACTTTTTTTTTTTTTCTTGGTTTTTTTTTTTGGTTTTTTTCAAGACAGGGATTCTCTGTGTAGCTTTGGAGCCTATCCTGGCACTCGCTCTGGAGACCAGGCTGGCCTTGAACTCAAAGAGATCCGCCTGCCTCTGCCTGCAGAATGCTGGGATTAAAGGCATGCGCCACCAACACCCAGCTGTCTCTGACTTTTCTTATTTGTTTTTATTTTGTTGTTGTTGTTTGTTTTTGTTTTTGAGACAGGGTCTCTCTGTGTAACAGCTCTGACTGTCCTGGAACTCACTCTGTAGACAGGCTGTCCTGGAACTCAGAGATTCTCCTGCCTCTGCCTCCCAAGTGTTGGGATTAAAGGTGTACACCACCAATGCCTGGTCTCTGACTTTTCTAATAATGGTCTCATAGTCCTAATTTTTTAGAATTTTAACTAGAATGATATTTTATTTTAACTAGAATGATAACAGATTAGAGTTCTAAAAAAAAAAAATTGAGACACACAAGGAGTCAACTGTCTGCCTCATAAGAAAAGCTGATGGAATAATAGACATTTAATATGAAGGAGAAAAAGTCCAAGATAATGAGATAGTTATCTCTAAATACTTGAAGTTCATAATGGATAAAAGGGATTATTTGAAATTCTTGAGAGTTAGTGAAATACATATATATTAATTATAAGCAAGCACATTTCTAAGAGTACATATCTCCTGCTATGATAAGCCTGCTTGGAGCTGAACAGATTTTTATGTTAAGAGATTCAGACACACGTGGGACCAAAATAAAGTGGACATCAAAGAGATGAAATGGATACATTTAAAATTCTCTTCCGACATAGTCGTCCACTTTAGTGGCAGCTGTGTTGTAACTTGGCAGATTTTCATTGTTCAAGCATAAGAAAGCCCTGAACTCTGTTTCTATAAAGCCTACAGTTTATTGTATTTATAAAATGATAAAATTATGAAGTCCGAAATGGGAGAAAGTGTCTCTCACGAAGCTTGGCTTTACTGCACTGACAGGCTCTAATGGATACTACTGGTTTTCACTCCAAATACGGAAAATATGGCTATTCTTCTTTGCTCTCTTCTTCTAAGAGATACTTCTATGGAAAAGCTGGATTCATACTGCCTTGGATTTGGCAAGCAGCCGGGTCTATCACCTGGCCCATCCTTTCAAAGAGGACAAACTGCTAGATAAAGGAAGGTACACTGAAGCTAGGCATCATGCTACATGTGATCTAAGCACCCTGGAAGCTAAAGTAAGAGGCTCATGGATTCAGGATGAGCCTAGAGTATATTGTGACTTCTGGGTGAGCCTGAGTTCCACAGTAGAATGCTGAAGAAAGACTATGAAGCAAAAGCATCATAGTATATTGGAATATCGTGGGAAATACAAGTTTTCTGGAACAATTTATATTAATTCATGGACAATGACTGAAAACACACTCAGCCAGTTAGTATTTGTTTGGGGGGGGGAGCAGAGTGGGAGGGGTTTATTTGGCTTCCAGGTTACAATCTATCCTTAAGGTAAACCAAGGCAGGAAAAGCACAAACGGAGGCATTCTGCTTATTGGCTTGCTTTCCATGGCATGCTCTGTTACACAGCCCAGGACCACTTGTCCAGGGGTAGAATACCCACAGGAACTTCTGATGAAATTAGTTCCTCCATTGAGATTCCCTCTTCCTGTGTGTTTAACTTAAGATCATAGATACTTATAGGTATTGCTAATATGCTAATAGTAACAAAATAATAACATTAAGTGATACATTGCTATTTTGTGTTTTCTGTAGGTTGTGCTCCATCTCCAGGTGCTTATGATGTTAAAACTTCCGAAGTGTCTAAAGGACCAGTGTCTTTTCAGAAATCACAAAGATTTAAAAACCAAAAAGGTAATGACTCCTTAAACAATGATTATACAGCCTATAGCCTGACATAAGCAATAGTATTGAAATTTTAAGATACTTTTGCACTTCTAGAGTTTCAAAGCCAGAAGTAAAATTAAATATCATTATTTGACATATTTATGAAAGAATCGAGTATATAATGATTTTTTTATAGTTATACTATATGTAACAAGGGAAATTATGTAAAATATTTGCAGATAGGTAGTTTCCCTTTTGATGATTGCTTTTCCTTTCTGTCAGAATAATTGGGACTGCCAAGAAGAGTTGGAGAGTTAGCTCAGTGGTGAAAAATACATACTGCTCAGTTGCCTTCAAGCACTCAAGTACACATACTCCCACACAGACATGGACATACTATTTTTTAAAAATAAATCTTTTTGAAGGAATGTTTTGAGTCTATAACAAATAATTGTGCAAGTAATTATTTGAAATTTAAAACCCAAAGGAAAAAGCTTAACTTGCTTCAAGTACTATCTGTAATGAGAAGTTTGAAAATTTTATTTATGTGGTTAAAACATGCAAATATCAACCATGGTCATATTAATTTATTTTTTCCAGAATCTCAACAAAATCTTAGTGTTGACAAAGATACTACCTTGCTTGCATCATCTAAAAAAGCAAAGACTTTGGTGTCAAAGGTGAGAAACATTTATAAGACTATTGATATATTCCTTATGTCATTGATTACATACTTCCAAGGTACTGTATTTGATTAAAATGGCTAAGTGTGTAAATCAAATTTATGTAAGTTGGGGCTTACATAGAGAGTTAGCTCAATAGGAACACGTACTGCTCTTCAGAGGACCAGAGTTCAGGTCCCCACCCCTGGAACTGGAGTTACGGGGGATCTGATAACTTCTCAGGCCTCCTAGGGCACTCACGGTCACATGCATATACACATGGATATATATCTAAATAAGAGTAAATCTTTTTATACCTATCATTAAAGTAAGTATTAGCAGAACTCTAGCAGGTTTTATACCTCTGCCTGATTTATTAGTAAGTCACTTTGAATGGGCTCCTAGCTCATTATTACAAAGGCATTTCTGTATAGAGATAAATCTGGTAATTACTTTTTAAGCCTTTACAAATATGTCATGCTTTGATTTGTTTCCATCATCTCAGTTTATTTTATTTATTTGTTGTTTGTTTGTTGTTTGTTTGTCTGCCTGTTTGTGGGAAGGATAAATATAGGTAAAGAAAAGAGGAAAAATGAAAATTTCAGTGACCAAAAGGGGGTTGTTACTCAAATTGTTGAACAGTAGATTAAATTCTTCCTAATGGCTATGTAGCATACCAGCACTGAGTAGCAGAATCAGGAGGATTAGGAGTTCAAGAATTCAAGACCAACATTGGCAACACAGAGAGTTTAGGGCTAGCCAGTATTACCTGAGACCCTGTCTCAGAAAGTCTCAAAAAACAAAAAAACCTAAATAAACTCCTAAGAGCTTTATAATATTGTTTAAGCAAGACCCTACTGTTTTTCATTAGTTCCTAAGAATGTCACTTTGTTTAGGAGTTGTACAAATTACTGATACACTGTTGATTTATTTAGCAGTTACTAAGGTCTCTTAGTCTGTAAAATAGGGCTGTGCCATCCATTGTGGAAGTGAATAACATATATGGCTACTGAGTACTTGAAATGTGACAAGTGCTAATGAAAAACTATGTTTTGTTTTTAAAACTGGGGTGGAGGACACTCCCCTCACCCCCAGCTCACTTGTTTTTATGCATCTTGGTAAAATTTAGAGTTATCTGAAAGGAGACAACCTCCATAAGATTGGCCATTAGGAAGCCTTTTGATTCAAGGCCAAGGTATATTACATAGTGAATTGTTAACTCAAAAGACTAAGAATTAGGGGATAGAGAAGTGGCTCAGTGGCTGCTCTTTCAGGGGACTTTGGTTCAATTCCTAGTACCCACTTGGCTATTCACAACAGTATATATAACTCCAGTTTCAAGGGATTCAGTACCCCTTTCTGACCTCTGTAGGCACCAGGCATGTACATGGTCTGAACACATATATTCAGGCAAAATACCCACACACGTGAATTCTTTATTAATTTGGAAAAGGACCCAAAATAAATAATTAAATATCAGAGTGGACTGTGATATTTGCCGCATGTAAGTTCATAATTGTTTTTGACTTTTAAACAGAAGGAGCCTCAGAAGAATGATAAAGATTTGAAGAGATTAGAAAAAGAGGTAAGCCATACTTTTAGCTTATTGAGGAATAAATGCTCTGTAATAGAAAGAATTGCATAGATTTGCAGACCAAGATACTATAGCAATTTGAGCAGTTCTGCAGTGAGGTAAACATGGCATTTGTGTAGCTTAGTCACTGGTCTCTCATTAATTTAATACTGACTGTCTTTATTGAGAATCCATGGCAATGAGGATGTGGTGATTGATACACAAGTAATAACTGAGGTCGTGACATTGCTGATGAGTGAGTGGCACTGCCAAGATTATTTGCATCAGATTTTGGGTTGGCAAATTTTTACCCATTCTTTTTTCTATTTTTGCATAGGTGTGTGGTATACATACGTATATGTGTGTTTGTTCACCTGTGCATAGATATGGTAGCCAGTGCTGTCTTAGGTTGCTCTCAACCTTCAGTGTTGAGGCAGAGTTTCACAGAACCTGATCTTGCCATTTCAGCTAGTCTGCTCAGCTAGCTCGTTCCAGATATCTGTTTCTACTTGAAACCCTGGACCACAACTGTCATCTGCATGGATCTTGGGCTCCAAACTCCAACCCTCATGCTTGAGTAACTAGCCCTTTACCTACTAATTTGTTTCCCTAGCCCTCCCCAAACATTTTCAATGTACTGCTTCTTTGTTTCTGCTTACTATTGACAAATACTAGCTTCTTTGTTTTGCTTTTTTTTTGTTTAAGTCTAGACAGAAAATCATATGGCTCCATGTTTCCTGTTAGATTCTACTGAGGTCTCTGCTTTCTTGAAATAAGAAACATATAACACTTCAAACTACAATTTAAATTTGTATAATTAGCACCAGAGAAAACAAAAATTCTGAACAACATTTAAGTGACTAAATAGCTCGAATTTGTTGTTGTTGTTTTTTCTTTTTTTGTTTGGATTTTTTGAGACAGGGTTTCTCTGGGTAGCTTTGGGGTCTGTCCTGGAACTTGCTTTGTAGACCAGGCTGGCCTTGAACTCACAGAGATCCACCTGCCTCTGCTTTCCCAGTGCTGGGATTAAAGGCCTGCACCACCACTGCCTGGCAATAGCCAGCTATCTTATTCTTGTAAGTTTGTGGCAATTAAAAATCATTGTGTTTTGTTGGTGGATTTGTTGTGTGTGTATGTGTTTGAGACAGGATCTTAGTATGTAGCTCTAATTGGTCTGGAACTCACTACGTAGACCTGCCTGGCCTGAAAATCACAGAAATTACCTAATACTGCCTTTCAAATACTACTTATAGCCAGGTTTTGGTGGTGCACACCTTTAATCCCAGTACTTGGGAGGCAGAGGCAGGCAGATCTCTGTGAGTTCGAGGCCAGCCTGGTCCACAGAACGAGTTCCGGGACAGGCTCCAAAGCCACAGAGAAACCCTGTCTCGAAAAACAAAAAAAAATACTAATCTAATCATTCTGTATTTATAATGCGTATCTTTAAAGTGCATCATAAGGTAAACATACTTATTGAAATAGCAAGTAAAATAAGAATGTCTGAGCACCATATCAAGTCGTAAGTTTCCTAGAAGGTTTGAGGCTTC